GGTTAGTAGTCATCTTTTGTAGCTTTGACAAGCTTATTAAGTGGGAGTTCTAGTCTCTATTTAAGACATATTAAACCCATAGAACAATTTTATATTTATGTAGCTCACAATCACACTTGGGATTACTCATGAGTGAAGGCTATCAGTCTTTCACAAATATTTATTATTTGATAATTTATAGTAGGAGCAGAATATATTCTTTGCTAATGTCTGATGTTGCAGAGGCACAAATATTTATTTGTCTTTGTTTGAAAGAAAAGTGAGGATACATCTGTATGCATATAAATTGCTAAAGAATCAAAGAAATTATGTGGTAAAGTGAAACTTAAGATTGCAATGATTCAGTTTTGAGAAGTAGCAAAACAGTAGGCTAAAAGCTTTTTGGTGTATGAAGTCTAGTTAGAGATGAGTAATAATATAGGGATTGATCTAATTTACATAAGGTTAAGGCTTATTGAGAGGTTGATGAGGGAATGCTCATGTTCAAAATTTTCTTGGTAAGGTCTGTAGGCGAAAATTAGTCGGACTTAAATATCCAAGACTTCCTGGTGAACTTGTTAAACTTTAAAAAGAATGATGATGGAAGTTAAAGAATTCTGTGGACCATTTCCAGGGTTAGAATTCATTGCACCATCTCAATTAAGCCATAAAGTTCTGGGGAGAAATACGACTTTTTAATCTTTCTTGTTTTGTGAAGACATTTATTTATGAGCTCCAGTGACATCTTAAAGCAACTTTATACACTCCAGAGTAACACTGATTTTTTTACTTTTAATTCAACTTGTAGATCTTAACAAGCTTATAAATGTAATAAGACCTAAAATAAGAATTTCTAATTAGTATTTTGAATTTTATCATTGTGCAAAAATGATTTCTCCTTTTTTGGGCAAAAATAAAATATGAATGATGTTTCTATTACATCTGTTCAATGCTTCTTGAGCTAGATTGATTTAGCTCAGAATCAGATTGAGGTTTATTAAATGAATTTCGTTGTTATGTGAATTGAATACCTAGAATGATTTGCTCTTGTAGAAGCATGATTAGAATTGTTAGAGCTAGTACTGGATCTAAATGAAGTTGCTTGATGTATATGTGCGCATGCAAGAGGATAAGTTGCTGCATACATGGAGAAAGATTTAAAGTTGAGTTTATATGTATATATATTTGATAATGTGCTGTAATTTTATTTATTTATTTTTTATTTTTTTTAGAATGGTCATGACATGGACAAATTTTCGCTGTCAACTATGTGTGGTATTTTGTAACTTGCCATGCATATTATCTTCTTACGAGTTTCATGACAGGTTGGGTAAACAGGTTTGCACACGCTGGTGATGCTGCTGTGGAAATAGCAGAAAGCACAGCTTATCGAGTAAGGTTACAGTATTTATTTTCTTATACCACGTTGTCCTTCAATTAAAATTAGTTAAAATTAATCGAAAGTTGTATGGTAAAATCTTTATTCCTGGCATAATTAACTGCCTCGCCCTCAACCCGACTGGGCAAAATGGATGGAAAGAAACAGAGTATAAGCAGCTGGTCTTTGTAACATTATCAATATTGAGCCCCCGTTTGGCCCCCATTATTTGATGTTATAATTTTTGGAATAGTAGTTTTTTGGAGAATGTGTGGTTGAAAAGGAAGGAAAATTTTTTGGTTTATATATAATACTCCCTCCGTCCCAATCATATAGGCTTGTTTCGTTTTTCGCACTAATTAAGAAAGCTTATTTAATGTCATTGAAAAATTAATTTTTCCAAGATCTTTCCTAGTTTACCCCTATTTAATTTTCAGTATGTAAAACTAAATTATTATTGGAACTAATAAAGAATTTGAAGAAGAAGAAGAATAAATGAGAGTTGTTCCATGTTTCCAATAAGTGAGAAATGTGTGTTTGGATGATTTCAAGAAGTTGGCATATTAAGTGGGGAAAATTTAATAAGGGTATATTAGTAAAGGAACACAACAAAATATTCTACATTAGGAAACATGCCTATATATTTGGGACAAGAAAAAAAGGAAACTCAGCCTATATAATTGGGACGGAAGGAGTATTATTTTATTGGAGAATGTGTGGTTAAAAAGAAAAAAGAGAAAAATGTGTTATAAATTTAATGGGGGCCAAACGGGGGCTGAATCTTCTTCATATCCAACACAGTGCAAGTATTGTATACTAGGTGATCCAGGATAATGGGTTGTAAATTTGAATGTATACAGGCTGCTGTTCTTTGAAAATTTATACATAGTTGAGGGACCTCCCATCCCTGTCTATGCTAGAATTAAGCCTTAACCCAATCCCACTGGGAGCAATATAAAGCAACCAGAAATCAGAAAAATGCTAAGCGTTACACAGATTTATAGTCTTTCATCCTCAACATAGAGCTACATCCACTCGCCATTGCACTTTTTCATTAAAATTGATAACATAAGTTCACAGTGGAGATCGAACACATTTCTCTTTTTGTCTTTCTCAAACACAAGGACGACCATCTCATATTCCTTTATGTAGTGTAGGAAGCTAGGGTGACATAATACAAAGAGACGAATGCTTAATATAAATCCATGTAATAAAAGTCCTTTTGTGTTTTTCCTAATAGTATAGGAGGTTTGGTTGATTTGTGGTCGAGGAGGCAAGTGAATGGTAATAATTAGGCTTTACATGATCCAACATGCTGCTCCTCCATTCTTCTTTTATGTTTTTCCTATTAACTTGTTTGATTGATCTTAACCTTTTTTCCCGGTTTTGGTGTATCTGACCAATTCTGATGCTGTTGCAGATTAAGCAAGCTAAAACTGAGATTGTAACTGCTAGCAAAGTGGCGTATCGGTTTCTTGCAGGAGTTGCTTCCAACAATTCAATTCTAAATGCAGAGTCCCCGTGCAACTCTAATAGAGGAGGATCTCCTAGATTCCAAGCTACTTGGTTCAAGAACCTTATTGCTTCTGGTGCTAAACCGTCAAGCAGTTCGGAAATGGAAAATCGGGATGAAGAGATTACACAGCAGCATCAACGACAGGGTGAAGCACCGCTGAGGCAAAACTCAGAACATGACATCTGATAGTGTATTGGTCCCGATCATCCTGTGCACTAGCAGGGCATGATAAAGCTTAGGTAATTTATTTGTTGTAGACGTGGAGTGGATTGGTGTAAAATGTTGAGTTCCCTTATTACTGTGAATTCGTCAACATTTGTTAAAAATAGTGCAGAATTCACATTTCAAAACATATATCAGTGTTACATTACTTGTTCTTGTTTTACATAACATTATGGTACATACCAATTTTTTCACATTTAGTTAAATGCGATTTATAAGGGTCACAACATCAGTCATTCTATTCGTTGCGTTTATAATAGAGAATGTGTTTCTTTCTTCAATCCATTACAACTTTCTAAATGCCCTTATTGGATCTGTTATACGCTTTACTTGTGAACCTTTTTGTCGAGTTCTTTTGCTATAAACTATTAAAATAAATATTTTATTAATTCTCAATTAACAAAAAAACTATTTTGATTACATTATCAAAAAGAAGACTTAGTTTTCCATGAAAACCCTTTCTGGAAAACATTGTCTATCCCTCTCCCAAATACGCCCTAAGGTTGCAATATGTTTTTAGAAAAAATTACCTTAAAACAATATTTCACGTTTCAATTTCGTAAATAGAGGTTAATTATTATTATTTTTTTTTCAAAAATCAGGAATATACCCACCCCACCCAATTTGTTTAATACAACTGTTTTTTTTTACGAGTTAATTAAATTACTAATCACTGACATTTACCTTGGATTACTACTTGCTCACCAAAAAATAAAGGGTTTGGATCACTCGTTTCAGATTTAATTCCTTCCAAACATGTGTGGCCTCTATTAGTTGTTGAGGTTACGTTTGAGTAATCCTTAAACCTTGGGTCAGATTCTTCATTTTTCTTTCAGATTACTTATTTGGATGTGTATCCGTTCATCGTGGATGTTTGAAAAGGTGAGATTTAACTGCTTGGAACAACCAATTCCATGGTCTAGGAGATCCCTTAACGATGGAATCAAGATTGAAATTAATCATATAAACTTTTTCAATCAAATGTATTCTCCAGGCCTCATTGGAATTCTTGCACCTTAGTCAAGATGAAGTACGTTAGCCTACTTGCTAATTTAATATCATTTAATGTGTTTTACATAAAAATATTTAAGCTTACAATCTTGGTTCACTTCGGATATCGCCAAGTGTTTCATTCACCATCTCATCAAATTTAGCTAGCTCTTTACATTTTCCATTTGGTAATGCTTCATTCCATTTTGATATATAAATATGAAGATTTCCATTGCCCTCTACAAGATTCTTGTCAAGTCAAGCCAAGCCAAGATTTGCGTTCATTTTATGCCTTTTTTTTCAGGGGATTAAGGCCTGCTGTCTTATTTGGGTTTGGTTGTTTGGCAAAATACACTACTGAAAAAGATTTTAGATTCTCTTTCCTTCTCTTGTTTACATTTAGAAGTTCAAGAAATATCATTTATTAAGAGCACTGCTTTCATAATGCAACATGTTTCTCCTTCTCAATGCTCGAAGATGAAAGGAAACAAAACAGAGAATCGACACTTTAACGACCAATTGCTCAAGAATTAGAGACAACATATACAAAGACACCAATATATGCACATAGAAGCGTTCTCATCAAGTTGAAAATTGTTTGTCCATACCTGATATAGACGCCGACTGACTCACCCAAGTGTAGTTCACTATCATGTTTCATTTCCTTTTCAACCACCCAAGTAGAAAAAATCAGTACAACCTGTGCATTTCGTCTTGTTATTCTTCAACATGTACACGAATATATATGTTTTACACGGCAAGATTGACCAGGGAAATAGGATCTCATATGATCCACAGGTACACAACTCTATATCGATCTGCATATTTTATATGCCAGTTACCGAGTTTGAAAGAATCACAATCATGAATCATACCGTTGCAAAAATGTTAAAAACGCTGCAACCTCCATCTCTTCTATGTTTTTCCGAAATGGACTGGCATTGGCATGCAAAGACGTTTAATATCTCCCTTAAATGGTGTCTTCATTTTATGAAGCTTGATCTCATATAGCTTAGGCCAAAGCTTTCCCGTCACTGTACACAACTGGTGTCTTTAGAACGAGCAGCGGAAAAATCGATTCCATCAGGTCTAAAATCGGAAGCAGTATGAACATAATGTAACTTACCGAAAATACGGTTTCCTTTTTCATCCCATGCTATGCCGTTCAAGACATCGATACTCTGAAAATTTGGGTTAAAAGAAAATTCTTAGGTTTATATGGGAAAAAATTATTCAAGTATGTACTATTCAGATAGGCAGTCTTTGTATACCATTTCACCTGCTGCAATCAACCCTTTCCTAATAGCACATTCGAATTGATTAGACAATTTTGTCCCCAGAAGAATAAGAAAATAAATGTGTGTGTGATGAAATCAAGCAAGTTGAGTAAAGAACCTCAAATCAGGAAGGAGAATCCATCCAATCACCACACCATCTTTACTTGATATTCTAGCAATGCAGTCAGTCTGCATATTGAGCGAAAACGGTTAATCAGAGTAAGGTTCAATATAGAAAATTAAATATCGGTCAAGGTAGCAAAATCAGGCAAGTGAACAGATGCTGGAATTATTGATAACTTCACCGAAGCGAAAAGATGCTAGTATCTGTTTTTATTGAAGCAAATGTACAATATACCATACATCTACTTAGGAATATACAATTCAACGAAGTGGCTTATATCATGCAATTTATTTGTAAGTACTGATAATTTCATCCATTATGATCTTTGACAATTATTTCTGATTTTAATCTAAGTCAAAGTCAAACAATCAATATTAACCACATCTTTTATAGGTCCCACATCTTTTCAACCACACATTTCAAAAACTTCTATCACAATCCACTAAAAATCTAATTTTAATCCCTACCAAACACTCTCTAAATAAGTTGGTAATCACCATCAAGAATGATATGATTAAAAGTTACCTCGTGATCCAAAAATAATGAAGCAGAAATTCAGTCTTCATACCTGCCAAACATTTGCCCATACTTCGCCGTTCACATACTCCAGTTCATTGAGGTTGTGAACCTCGTCTCCTTTATACTTGACAGTGTGTGCTTCAATGACTGTTGATTTGAGAGAGAACATACAAAAATGACAGACCGATTAAATGAAGATGCCAGAAGAGAAATGAATATTAGTAATGCAGTGAACAATGTATACTTGGACTAAAAAATCAGAATGCGCATGCATGCACTCAAAAGAAGAAGACTATACATATATGATTGCACTCGCAGGTTTTCACAGTCAATTAATTTTTAGTCATCCTGGAAGCAACTGCAAGAGTAGAGAATTCAAGTTCTCCATCCTTAGAGAGAGGGAAGGTACAATGGGCGTTGATGTCATAATGGGCCTAAAGGCCAAATTGGTAAAGAACTAAAATTCACTTCTTTCATATAATGGAAACCTTTCAATGTTTGAGGGTTAATCTGATACAAGGTTGAAGTTCCATCACTTCCGAATATAACTTTCTCATCAGTAGCCAAACCCCATCCATCTTGCATTTGGTGAGTGAACTTCTTAAACTGTAGACGATGCAGCAAAATATCAGAGATAAAGGCCAGCAACCAATTACTCCAGAATCTATGCATCTTCATAAATCAAAGGATGGAAAAACTGATCAAATGGAATCAAAGACTATTCGATATAGCTGTTGGATGACCTAGGAACTTGGAAGCAAGGCTTCCCCAAGAAATACCATATCATTAAGACAAGTCTTGTCAAAATTAATCACATGTACATCCAAGAATTAGAACCCATAATCCCTGCTAGAATCAGATTGATTCAATTTATAAGATTAACATACACTATAGAAAAAATTCTTCCACTTTAATCAAGATCTCACCATGGCATATATCAAATATATCAGACAGCACGGTACCCAACTACACTAAGAATATGAACTCACCCTCTACAATTATAGACTACAATGCTGTCAATATTAACTCTTTCACTTGAAAACATGTAAGATTAAATATGACAAATAATTGAAAACTGATTTTTATACTATCACGACTGCACTTATGTTCCCAGTTACATGCCAGTAAATACATTTTACTAGTCTTGCAGCTGCAGTTCAGAAACTTTCTGAGATCTAGAGACATAAAAGTTAACGTCCAAAAATCACCAAAGCAAAATTGGAAAGCACTCAGGGAACACATGTCAATCAAATCTAACAGTACTAAACTAGATTTTAGACATTTGATTTTGAACAAGTTAATATCATCAGATTAAAATGGCACAAATATAGAAAGGATAATGTTCAAACGAGGAAAAGGGTGAAGCACAAACTTTGCTTAAGTTATTTCGGTCATATATGAAACCAGTTTTCTCCAACCAAGTAACTTGAAACAACCTACAAAAGTACATGGGATTATAACATTAGAATTACGACTATTCAACTTTGACATAAAAGAATCAGTTGATTTAGAATTTTCAACTGATATAAATAAACTGATGCTTTGAAAAGTATATACACAACCACAGAACCCAAGAAAGACAGTTAAATCGCAAGTCTGGTCTGTTTTTCATAATAAATGATCAATGAAACTGCTGATCCACAGATGCAGAATGTGACAATAACCTTTCCTGCTTTCCCTACATATGTTTACAATTCATAGCATAACTTTTAACTACAATATACAATATAAAGAGAGAATAAAATCTAAAACTGAAAACAATTTTGCTCACAAACCTTTCACCGATAAGAGTCAAACCCTCTCCAAAGTAAGAATTCTGCATTTTGTGAATAGCCTCAACCTGTAAACATAAAAGCAGTGAATTATGTGCGTGTAGCCAGATCTGTGGGATGTTTCTTTTCTTAGGCTTACATACAAACTACATTCACTAAGACAAATATTTTATGCCGACATCGAGTTTGATCTTGAAGAAATCCAAAGCAAAATTGAGATGCTAAAATCTAGAAATAGGTACCTTCCCTGTCCGAAGAGCGACTTTCCGAATGGATGACTGCAATTAGGAAGAAGAAAAACTTAAATGCACGACTTGTAGACAAACTAGCCATTCATGTGTAAGCAATAATATCCGCAAAGTATATGCATCCAGAAAATGAAACCAGAAAAATTGTCTGGGGCGGTGAAGTAGCACCATGTGATATGAAATCTTCCTTTTATTTTAGGTTTCATCAAGACCATGCACAACATGAGACTAATCGGAAAGAACTAAATATACAACTTGAAGCAATATGTGAAAAAGAAAATAAGCACAAAGATGGGAACTGCTTTGATTCCACATATCTATATTTGTCAAGTCTTAAAGGTGGATAAGATGCTAACTCACACGCCCATTAAGACCGGTTGATTCAAAGAGTGTATCGTTTTCTGCATACAATAGCCCCTGAAAACAAATGAACGCAGTTAATCTCTAAAGCAGAGCAACAACTCAGATTCAAAATTTTTGTTTTACAACTCCTTGGAGAAGCTTTCGATTGAAACTCAATATAGAAGACCAGAGCATTAAACATGACTTTCATCTAATTCCACTTGAGCATGCAAACAAATTGAAAGGTATATCCAGGTGTATGAACTAAAGCCCATTTGATTTGGATTATTTATCCGCTTTAATCAGAAAACTGATAATCAAAATTCTCAGTTGAATGTTTGCTACAATGAAAAAACTAATTAATTCCAGTTTAGTAATCACGAAGCTCAAAAGGACTGATTGCGTATTATGTTTCTTTACCATTTTCCTAAATCCAACTCTCCAAATTTTCTTCATGCGGTCCAAACCGAACAAGGCTTAGAAATAACCATATGCAAATGACCTGTGCACATTACCTATATCTAAATTCACGTAGAAAGAAGAAAAACAGACAATAAAATGCAATTGCATCAAAATATGCACAGATTTACCAAATTAAACGTCATAATAAACGCCAAAAAAACAATCTTTTTACAGATCACAAAATCATTCAAGTACAAAAATGTTCAATCGAACAAGCATAAAAATAGCAAGATTCAAATTTCCGTAAAATTGACCTGAGTAAAGGCATTAGGATCGTGGGGGAACTCATTGACCACTTCGACAGCGTAAATTTGATCCGAGGTAGGTTTTGTTCCAAACACTCTCCGGATGTTAGACGAAATGCTTAGTACAACAAAAACGCACAAAATAGAAATAGCTACAATGACCAAAGAGAACTTTCTCAGAGGAAACGACGGCATAGAACGCGCCATCGAATTGTGACTGGGTTTAGCGAGGTACGATGATCGCTTCAAAGATTTTTTCCTCAGCGACCCTCTGGCCATGGTGAAACATGAGAGTTCATGCGTGGCGGGTGGTGGTGAGATCCGGCGTAAAATACAGAGTTGGGGCAAGATGACTGCGTCGACCGGTGGAGGTAGAATGACGTGAAGTTTGGCTTTGTAAGTCAACTGACGAGTTTCTGGTTTGACTCGTCAGAAATATATGGAGCATATTTGGTAGGATTTAAAATTCAATTAAAATTGAAAATATAGTTGTTATTGGGTGTCATTCATCTAATAAAAATCAACAATAACGGTTAATTTTTCAATTTCAATACGATTTTAATTTCTATCGAACACGCTCATAATATCCTGGAATTAAGGTCCGTTTGATTCCAAATGTGGAATTTAGGTGGAAATAAAACAAATTGTAGGGAATTGAATTGCCTAAAATTTGTTTTATTGAGAATTGTAATTAATTGAGTTTGATTTGTATAATTTTTCACATGGTCCATTTGACTTTGTTTTTCATGAAAATTATCCATTAAAATGATAATTTTTTCTACCATTTGGTCTAGAATTTGTTACATTTGCTAAAAAATTTAAAAAAAAAAAAAAATTACTATACAGATGTGAAGGTTCAGTTTAGAAGATGTTGCCGCGTGGATCTGATCCGACGATCAATACGTCGTTTGGACAGTATAAATAGTCTTCTTTTGTATAGAATGAAGGGACGGTTGGGTCTTTGTAAGGAGACAATTAAACACAAAATACTTTCATTCTCGTGAAAGACATAGATTGAAGATGATCTACATGCTTTGTTCTTTACACATTTTGCAAAGACAATAGCAAATATATGAAGATTCCAACATCAAACACCATTTGATTTTATCTATCCTTCCACATATTCCATAACAAAAGAGATATTCATTTTAAGAGAGTCCACCTGGACCTTGTTGATAGTGCAAAGACTGTTTAAAGAAAAATGTCGGAGCTTGAACAGTTGAGTCTCTTGCCGGAAATATATGAAGATTTCAACATCAAACGCCATTTGATTTTATTTATCCTTCCACATATTTCATAACAAAAGAGATATTTATTTCAAGAGAGTCGACCTGGCCCTTGTTGATAGTGCAAGGGCTGTTTAAAGAAAATTGCCGGAGATTGAACAGTTGTGTCTCTTGCCGGAAAGCATCTCCCACGTCCTTTCCAACTATGCTACCGCTCCTGTTCCGGTAGAAACATGTCGGATTATTGCTTGACCTGGCAAGAGTGGGCCCGGCATCTGTTGAGTCCATTTTTTGGGGTCAGCAATATCCATTATAATGTAAAAAAGTGATTTACAAATAACTTTATTGTAAGAAAAAAAATCTTGATAGGAAAATCCACCTTATCACGAAAAATTAAATAAAGAAAAAAAAAGGTTAATAATAGTAATGTTGGGACAAAATAGTTTTAAAGCTTTATTCCTTCACTTGTATTGCTTTACCTTCAATTGTATTTATAGCATGTAATTAGAGATTTAATTATATGACACATTTATATGATTAACTTTCACATTTATGACTCATAATCATTGTCATTAGTTTGATAATTATTTTATATTAATACAAAATTAAAATATGCTCGTGCTTTGGGGAACTAGAAGTTGGTTTGTTCGACTTTTATCGATTGTTGTTTATATGGCAACAAATACTGTTGTGAGTTCAAAAACATTTATCTTGTGTTTCAGGCTAGTATTTTTTTTTTTTTCAGGTGTAGACGTAATCCAATTCGATTCGATTCTTAAGAAAATCGAATTGAACCGAATATAAATAATATTGTGAAAATGAATCATTGAATCTATATTTAAGTAGGAAACTGAAATAGAATTGAGGTGTTCGTCTCTTATCAAATTCAATTGCTTGTGTTAAGTTCTCAAATTCACTAATGTGAATGTAGCGTAGCTATACAAGTTCTTAAATTCTCCATAGTCTATTCATTAAAAGGATTTGTATTGATGCTAACGATTTGCATTCTTCAAGTTTTAACTAAACACGAAAATTTACATAAAATGCTTAAGTATTGGCTTGAACGATTTCTTTTTAAACGGGTTCCAATATCACTTCTATTTTCTTCATACTTTAAGGACTCAAAATGTTAACTAAAAAAAAAAAAGAGAGAAAGGAATCCAAGCCTTTTATTAGTCTAAAATTATAGCTATGAAATTTAATGAATCATTTTTGTCTAAATTTATATATGATGTGAGTTTGATGTACTTTGATGAAATTCATAAAAAGAAAGTATAATGATAGGTGCATTGCACCCATCATCGTTAAAAATTAAAAATTTCGGGTAAAATCAAAATTTTTGGTTCTTGGTAAATTAGAAATGGGGATCGAACTGAAACTAACTGATTCTTTATTTTAATCCTCAAAATCAATTAGAAATTGAATAGAACTAGATCGAATCGGGCTATCCCAATTCAAATCTAGTTTGATCCAATGCTTCTAATAGGTGTGAAGTTAAGTGGGGGCTAATATGCATAATTTATTTTTGGGAAAAATTCATATCTAAAATATTAAATATGGGTCATTTCAAAATTAAGAAACAAGTTTTAAAACTTCAAAAATCAGATATTAAATAAATTTTATTTATGAAATAGTTAATTAAAAATATATTAAGGTCACAATTCTATATTATTTGATCACAAATTATTGAATTAATTAATCATAAATTATTTCTTGGTCACGAATCAAAATTTTTATAAGTTACAAATTATTTCACGGTCACAAATCAAAAAATTTATATGTCATAATCTATTTATCGATTACAAAATCAAAAGTTTTATTGGTCGCAATTTATTTATTAGGCACAAATTACAAATTTTATTAGTCATAACTTATTTCACAATCATTATTTACCAAATTAATTGGTTTCAAGTTATTTCTTAATCATATTTTTCTATTAGAAATAATAAAATTTAGTGAAATTTTCCATTTAAATTATTGAATTCTAAAAAAAAAAAAATTAAACGGGGCGGGGCAACCGTTACCCGTCCCCGCCTCGGCGCAAAATTCTCCATCCCGTTTCCCACCCGAATACCCGATTAGCGGGTTATTCCCACCCCGTTCGGGGAGGGCTCTACGGGTATCGGGTTTGTTGGATTTTTTTTTGTCATCCCCAATCACAACTTAATAAATTGTAAATCGCGATCACATTTTTAGGTCACATTATTTATTGGTCACAAACACTTTTATCACATCATATCCACAACTACCGCACCACCACCACCTCCACGAGGACCACGACCACCACCTCATAAGCATTGCCAACATCACCACCACCTCATAGCGCTTAATCACAAATTTTTATTAGAACTAATAAAATTTAGTGAAATCTTTCATTTAAATTATTGAATTCTAAAAAAAAAAATTAAACGGGGCGGCGCAACCGTTACCCATCCCCGCCCCGGAGCAAAATTCTCTGCCCCGTTCCCGACCCGAATACCCGATTAAGCGGGTAATCCTCACCCCATTCGGGGTTGGCCCTGCGGGAATCGAGTTTGTTGGATTTTTTTTGTCATCCCTAGTCACAACTTAATAAATTGTAAATCGCGATAACATGTTTAGGTCACATTACTTATTGGTCACAAATACTTTCATCACATCCTATTCACAACTACCGCACCACCACCTCCAAGAGGACCACGACCACCACCTCATAGCGCCGCCAACATCACAATCACCACCATCCAAACAACACCAAAAAATCGGATGTAAAATTATCACAATGATTGCTTGACCACCACCAACATTACCATCACCTCACCAGCACCGCTAACATCACTATCACCTCACCATCGTAGCGAACATCACAACCACCACCACCACAAGGTGCATTGCACCCACCATCGTTAAAAATAAAATAAAAAAATTTCGGGTTAAATCGAAATTTTTGGTTCTTGGTATTAGAAATGGGGATCAGACTGAAACTAACCGATTCTTTATTTTAATCCTCAAAATCGATTAGAAATTGAATAGAACTAGATCAAATCGGGCGATCCCAATTCAAATCTAGTTCGATCCAATGGTTCTAATAGGTGTGAAGTTAAGTTGGGCTAATATGCATAATTTATTTTTGGGAAAAATTCATATCTAAAATATTAAATATGGGTCATTTCAAAATTAAGAAACAAGGTCCAAAACTTCAAAAACCGGATATTAATTAAATTTTATTTATGAAATAGTTAATTAAAAATATATCTTTTATTAATTAAATATATTAAGGTCACAATTCTATATTATTTGATCACAAATTATTGAATTAATTAATCATAAATTTTTTCTTGGTCACGAATAAAAAAATTTATAAGTTACAAATTATTTCACGTTCCCATATCAAAAAATTTATATGTCATAATCTATTTATTGGTCTCAATTTATTTATTAGGCACAAATTACAAATTTTATAACTCAACTTATTTTACAATCACTATTTACCAAATTAATTGGTTTCAAGTTATTTCTTAATCACATTTTTCTATTAGAACTAATAAAATTTAGTGAAATTTTCCATTTAAATTATTGAATTCTAAAAAAAAAAAAAACAAAAAATCAAACGGAGCCGGACAACTGTTACCCGTCCCCGCCCCGGAGAAAAATTATCTGCCCCGTTCCCGACCCAAATATCTGAGTAATCGGGTAATCCCCGCCCTGTTCGAGACTGACCCCGCATGTATCGGGTTTGTTAGATTTTTTTTGTCATCCCTAGTCAAAACATCATAAATTGCAAATCGCGATCACATTTTTAGGTTACATTACTTGTTGGTCACAAACACTTTCATCACATCCTATCCACAACTACTGCACCACCACCACCCCACGAGGACCACGACCACCACCTCATCAGCACCGCCAACATCACCACCACCTCATAGCGCTGCCAACATCACAATCACCACCATCCAAACAACACCAAAAAATCGGATGTAAAATTTTCACAGTGATTGCTCGACCACCACCAACATCACCATCACCTCACTAGCACCGCTAACATCACTACCACCTCACCATCGTAGCGAA